GCGAAAACCCGGAATTTTCCTGAATAACTACGTAGGAAAGGGTCAATTATTAGCGATTTCCAGAGGAAACACTTATAAGCAAACTATTTGAATAATTAAAAATTTCCTGAGATTTCCTCCAGAAATCACTAGCAATCGGACCTTTTCTACAAAGTTATTCAGAAAAATTCTGGGTTTTCCACATTTGCGAAAACCGATTTCCTTAGGGGGTGACATGCAGGGGTCGCACTAATTTGAAAACAGCGATAATTATAATGTACAACAAGAAATATACGTTGAATTTTCTAGGAAACTCAGAGAAAATCTTGAATATTATTTGAAACAATTTCTTGTATCAAAATAAGTTGCCATTTTACATTAAAAAAAAAAATATGTAAAAGATTTTTATGATCCAAAGTTGAATTATTTTAAAATTATGTTTTATTTTATTCAATAATAAGCAATTTTTAAAGTAGTTGTGATTATGAATTTATTTATTTAAAAACTTCTCGCTTTATCTTGTTCATTGCTAAAAAAAATAAACGACCATAATCGGTTAACTTAAATATGTTTATTATAAACATAGCAGGCTTTCGTATTATCACTTTGCCGACCACTTTTTTTTTCATTTAAAAAAATAATTTAACGAAGTGATATGTAAAAAATAAATTGCAAAATCTAAATTTAGGCGTGTAATTTTGTATTATGTATTTATCTAACTCAAGTGTGCGCATCTTTATTAGCTATTACACAAACTTAAATTCGTGATATCTATACTATTTTAATTATAAAAAAGTATTCCATATTTGTGACTCCAAAATCTCAGAAGTTAAAATTATATGGCCTCCTCAGTAAAATGGTAGGACTGCAGAATGCTGGTTATCTGGTCAGTTGTAGTGCTTCGATCCGGATGAAATCCGTCATCCGGATTACACAAAAAAAAAATCCGGATTATATCCGGTTTGATCCGGATTGAAATCCGGGTCAGAAATCTGGGTGAAATCCGGAATCCAGATCAGATTTCATATATAAAATTTTTTAGATTGCATATGACGATCCATATTAAAGATAATAGGACCCCGAAATATACATAAAAGGGTCAGGTCAGAGTTTGCGTATAATGAGTCAAAAAAATCATGTAGATCATTCCTTTTATGGATAATCCCAGCCAAAATAATATTTCCTAATTTAGATAATGGCTGAAATTATCGTAATTCCGGCCCTGAAAGAATGCGTATTTTGGACCACTTCTGGACCTGACCTCTACATATATATTTCGGGGTCCTGAGATAATGGTACTTATTAATACAATTAGGTAGGTTTTTTTAAATTTTGTAGCCTTTTTTCCGATTTGATTATTGAATTTGAATTAGCTTATTTTACCGGCACTATTAATTTGGCCTGAGTTACAAATTTTATTCAAATTTTGATAAAAATCAGGCTTAAAAAACAATATCGCGTCTTAAATTATGATTTTACTTAATAAGATTAATAAAAATGTAAAAATAATTTTCACTTTAATTATATTAAATAAATTAATAATAAATAAATAATTTTTTACTAATCATCAATTTATCGTTGTTCATGACAAAATTTATATATTACAAAATTATTTATCAGTTGCAAAACTAATAGACTATTTATTTATTACAAAATCTATAAAAAATATTAGAAAAATTTTTTTTTTTTCTATCCAGATTCCGGATGAATCCGGATATTTTTCATCCGGATCAAAATCCGGATCAAAACCGGATATCCGGATGAAAAAAAAATCCGGATTCATCCGGATTCATCCGGATGGACTAGAAACGGATCGAAGCACTAGTCAGTTGGTCTCGCTGCTGATGCTGTTATTTGAATTTGTCTGGGTTATCATTGGTTATCCTGTGCTAATTCTAAGAGTCCACTCAATTTCCTGATGAACAGTAAGATAGTAAATATTGTATATCTATCTTTCCAATACAATATTTGGAAATTATGAATAAAGGGAATTTGTTTGATATAATCATTGATTTATTTTAAAAGATCATTTCCCTAATCATATAAATCTTATATATGCAGTTTTCTTAAAATTGATAATCAATAACTTAATTATAAATATAAAAATATTCTGAACAAATAATTCTATTTTGTAATAACTAATAACAATAATGTTATATGAAATTTTAAGTATAAAGCATGTTTCAAACTATTTCTATTATAAAATTCTTCAGCTCATTTCAAAATGGCAAGATAGTGAAACTCTCCAGTTTGTAACTATAAGTAATTGTGATACTGGTTGTGACTAGTAGTTATTATTGCAAAAGTATCTATGGAATTATGTGTAATTCTTTTCTACTATTCTGTTACCATACAGCCTCTCATGACACTGCCACACCTGATTCTGCAAATGTTTCCATTTCTGAAGTTTGTGCCATGATTCTATTGATACTATCACTTCTGTATGTAGCTGGTACTTGTTTCACTTTAGACGCTGTTGCACTTGCTGATGAACTCATTGATGTTTTTACTTCTGTTAAAGCATACTAATCTTTGGTATCTGGTTAAGGATAATCATATTAATAATAATATTATTATTTTATGAAAATGGTAATATCTTAAGACTCATAATAGGATGCTTTGATATTATTTTAGATTGTTTGGTATTTTGACTGATACCCTGTAAAAAAAGTCAAACCGTTTTTTATATTCCATCTTTTTTCCGTAAAAGGCTCATATTTCCAGAATTAATAACCTTATATTACGGAATTTATACATTTTCCGTGAATGGATCCGTGAAAGGCTCATTTTTACAGTGTATTTACAGAAATAGTGGATAAAATTTTTTATAGGGGTAGAGGATTCTTTGATATCTTTGACTGGTATATGGTATATAGTATGATATTGGCTTGATTAGAGAACAAAAAGGGGAAAGGAAAAGTAAAAAAGTAAAATAATTTGATTTATCATAAATTCTTAACCTATTTATATTTGATTTTTAACACATGAAGCTTATCTATTTTTAAGTAACATCTGGATGAAATTTCAAGTTTAAAGCAAGACAACTCCAATTACCATTAAAGCCACCATTACAGCCACAAAATAAACATGTTAATTAAGGCTTAAAAGTAGGCTTAATATTTACGTTGCTAATCTTGACATGTAATTTATGAGATTGCCATCTTATCCAATACACAGCCATACACGGCCATACAGTATATGTGATAACAGACTTTTCCGCACTAAATATCTAGATTTAACTTTAAAATACCTATTATTATATAGTATTTAGTCAAAATTTGTATAAAGATAGTTGAATTATGAAAAAGACAAGCAATTAATATGTTAATAATCGATGATACCACTTTTAGCAGGGTATTTTAAATTATAAATTATACCAAACTTGCAAAGTATATGTATATAAATTTATTTTCTATGTTTATTATAAGTGGATTGACAAATTAAAAAAATAACAATTTCATTATATTGGCATTCTTGATATATATTCAATAAATAAATTACAATCTAATTATAATGCTTCAATTTTCTCAATAATAAATTTGTAATTTGTAAGTTATTTTCATTAACTAAACCTGACCATATTTTGAGTAATTATACTGTCTTTAAAATAAAATAAATTTTCTCATAAATTATACCATATGAAAATAATGAAATGCGTGACTGCGCCAAATTTATTCCATAATTGAAATAATTTGGTTGGCTATGTCATGATTGTCATGTGCTCAAATCATGAGATTTGTGGCTTATCCAATTCTGATATTTTTTTATGACACGTATGTGTTTATAATTTGTTCCTCTACGGACAGTTAAGAATACAAAAAAAAAATAATAAAAAAAAGCCCATTATACGATGCTATACGCTGTATTATTTCAGTTCTTTTAAACCGGTTCTTACAGACCGAAATTTTTTCTGAAATTTTAAATTTTATTTTTTTTTTTTTTTTAAAAAACTGAAACAAAATCTTTAATTGGTTTTTTATTTTAAACTAAAAGTTTCAACTTTTTTAAAAATATTTTATTTTTAGTAAGTTTAAATTTTTTTTATTATTACCTAAATATTAATCAAAATTTTAATTGTTATATTAAGTTAAACACATCAATCCTGTTGTAATGCAACAGGAAATAACCAAGAATTTTCACAAACAGTTTCAAAACAATAATAAGCCAATTTCTTTTATTTGTCAAATCACACCTGTGGCTGGTGCTGTGATACACTGTACTTATAAACATCAAATATGTACAGTAATCCGCAAACTTATTGAGTGATAATGGTGTAGTTAGCCGAAAATAATTAGCCGCAACGTGATCCAGACCCGGCTCACGTTGTGGAATTTTCTGTGATTAAACCAGGTTTGGATGATCGGCAATCAGGAATTCGGCTCAACTCTTTATATTATGATTTATTACTTAAATTATAGTTTCTAAAAATTGATTAACTAAAGCAATAGGATTAAAAATTTAAAATCCATATTTTCTTTTATTCTGTATTATCAAATGGTTTTGTAAGATCAATGATATCTTCTAATACCGAATTAATACATGTTTGCATTTCTATTTCTCTTCCTCATTTAAATAAATAATTTCACTAACAGTAGAAATGCTTGTAATTTCTTTTAATTTAATATAATAATTCATTCTTAATATTTGTTGAATAAATCAGAATGAATTTTGACAATACCTTAGAGTTTATTAAAATCAAGACTTGTATGTTTATCTCCAATCATCCATTTTAAGTAAGGGAAAATTTTGTTTACAACCTGCTTCTAAAGAAGTCATACCAAATAATTCTCATACTTAAAGTGTATCTATTAACATTTCATAAGGTAAATCACAAGTTTTTTTGCGTTATTCTTCAGGATAACCTAGAATCTTCCAAAGAGTTGTAGCAGAAATTGCAGCATTTCTGAATCCATCATTATTAACACCTAAACCTCAAAACAATAATTTTAATAAATATTTTAAAATGATAATTAAACTTAATAAAGAAATGTGTGTTACAAATCAAAAAAAAAAAATGATAATCAAACTAACATAAAAAGATAAGTAGAATGTTGTAATTCAAGATAATGATAATTAAAAACTTGAATTACTTCAGACTTGTCAAGATTTGAAGAAGGAAGTTGAAACGTAATAACTGCCAATTTAATCATTTGAACAAAACAATCAGCTAGAGTAGCTAATTTTGCTTCAAGAATAGGAGCTCAAATTGAATGAATTTGACAGCAATTTATCCTCGTCCTACATCAAATAATAAAATTATGTTCTGATAATATCTGCTGATAATCAAGTTAGTTTAATTGTTAGTGATTATATACTGAAATAATATAATCATATTTATTAAAAAACCCCAGTCAAACACAGGATGATGTAGAATTGAATCTGTTGTTGTATAGTCCAACTAGTTTTATGCCATGTTTGTAATCCTTCAATATTAATTTTCATATTTTTAAACCTTGGGATAGTTCATCTTTCATTAAATTAATAGCATAATCTATACGTCTTATATCCCAAATATGACTGTACTTTTCTTCTATTTTTTTTTCTGACAATATGGCAGTTAAAGGCATTATCAGTTACTACAGCAGTGAATTTATCCACTCTGGTTTTTTCTATAATTGCAGAAATTTTAAAGCAAGGAACTTTCCTGTATGTGATTCTGATTAAAGCAACTAAATATTCTTTTCTTTCAGGTGTTTTTACAGTGAGTGATTCATTCCGTTTAAATATTCAACCATCTAATGCTGGTTAATAAATTATAAGGTAAAATTCAATGATTAATAATTTTTTCAAAAAAAATTCACATTTTATAAATTATTTCTTACTTAAAGTTAACCATCTGCAATATTTTCGTTTACGCCATATTTCTTAAACTTCAATTATGTTTTCTCCTCTTTTCTTCATTATTACCTACATTGTAATTATTTAGTAAAAAATTATGCAAAATTTCCTGCGGCGGAATAAGTCTATTTATATGCGGAACTTTGTTTACAGTACTACGTCATCTTTTATGTTTTTTTCTTGTAATACTTTTTTGTAACACATTTATGTATAGTGATTGTTGCACAATAACCAACTAAATTCTATTTATAATATGGAACTTTGTTTACAGTGCTACGTCACTATAAATTCGTATTACAGTATATTTTATTTTTCTTGTAATACTTTTTGTAACACATTTTTGTATCACACTATCACTGCATGATGAATTGCCTAATGATATTATTTACCAAAACTAAGCTCGAATTGTTCTTCATATTACCCAATTAATAATGATTAAAAATTTTTTGTTTGGGCTTTTCTCACAAACAATCTAAATCTAGTATAAATACCCGTAAAATCCCGTAAATGTGTTTTCTCTCACGATAGTAACATTTTATTAGAGGGAAATGTATATCACGCTAACTAAATTTATCGAACTAACGGTTCTTAGATTTTCTCGATATGATATCTTGATAAATTATAAAGGTATATAAACCATAATTCGATGATTCTATCGTATTTACATTCCAATTTTTTTTATTTAAAATATTAAAATATTAAAACATTATCCGTTTTGATATATCAAAGGGCCACATGTCTACTTCATCAGCTATTAATCCAGTCGCAACAGTTATTCAACGTCGGTTACTTATTAAAGGGAGATTTTTTCATAGTATACCGACCGATAAAAAATTTTTTTTAATAACCTACAAACTTATTCAAGAAAATTCTGGCTTCTCAAATGACGATGATTCTGACTATCATCTTAAATATGATCATGAATTCATTTATTCATTCAATACAGTAAATTATTATGTAAGCTGTAAATTATTATCTCATTCAACAGTTGAAGATTTATTAAATAATGAGAAGTTTGATGTAAATATGCGAAATAATGAGATACCATTGTCTCCACAACAAAAATTAAGTCTAGAAGAAAGCTTATTAGTAAAGCTTTATTTACGACTTTCACAAGGAGCGGATGAAATTATAATTTAAATAGTGCGTATATATATTATTAGAAAAGTGTGTGCATTATTGCACACTTCTTATTTATCATTATTTAATTATGCTTTTTATGTTTTTGGAAGAATTTATGTATTTAACAATTTATTTCATTATTTTTTATGATTGTACCAAACTACTTCATCTTTTCCTCCTTTATCTTACTCTTTATCACCTGCTCCTTTATTTCTGCTTACAAATTTTAAGTTATATCATGATATTTTATCTATTGGTTGGCTAATCATCCTGGGAAAAATTGGGTTATTTGAACTTCAAGGGAAATTCAACAAAACAATTTATTTTTTATCTTGACTTGCTTTACTCTTCAGTCCTTCGCCATGTACTTTAAAGCCGCTTAATGTACTTTTTATTCAAATTGGTACCTTATTTAATGCAAGAAATTTATAAAAAGCAATAAAAATTTAGTTTCTAAATTCATTATAAGATTTGAGTTTTTATTAGTTAATAGTTACATATATTTTTAAAAAATGTAAGTTAATATGAAGTTTAAAAAAATTCGGTACGTATGAAAAAAATGATCATAGAAACTTATTGCGTAACTTGTATTACAGTGTAAATATGATCATCATTAATAGTATTATTTGATTACTATTATGTGGTATAAAATCCCTTGTTTAACCTACACATAATATGACATTTATTGTCACACATTTATGCATGTATTTGCAATATTCCCTTTTCAGGGTAAAAATACATATACATCCCTCTTACTCTCGCTCCCAGTATTATTATTATTACTATTATTACTATTAGTGGAGAACATTTGGGTGACGGAAAATATTATGAACATAATACGAAGATCCTAATAAGTCAGGCGCAAGCGCATTCCGATTTTTTGGGATTTTAATATAAATAGCTTATTTCATTGCCCTCCAAAATAAATTAAAAAATTGAATATTTATTTATTTATTTATTTATTTGATTATTTCAAAAAAAAAAAATACTATCTATATTCTTCAAAATATCAATTTATTATTGAAAAATTCATACTTAAACAGCTTAGTCTATATATTATTCTCCAAAAATGGTTACCAATGATAATTTATCTCATGTGGTATCAAGTATATCTCAAGATGACATTAGTACGACTCCAAGACAACTCGTCCAAGATCACCAAATATTGACCACAGAAGACATCAACTCACAAGATGTTATCTCAAATTTCTTTTACAAACCACCCAATGATTATCAGATTTACGATATTAGTTATAGGGAAACATCAATATCTTTTGAACTTATATCTGAACTCTTAGACAATAACAATAATAGTTATTTAGCTCAAAATCATGTTCAACCAAATAATTTGCATGAATTTTATTTTCTCAAAGTTGAAGAAAAAAAATGTTATAAAGTCACTTGTGTATTAATTCCACATTTGTCAATCGTTGAATATTTAAATAAAAATATTCATGGAGTTGAATTTAATCATAATGAACAACAACAAGAAATATATGTTGAATTTTCTAGGGAACTCAAAGAAAATCTTGAATATTATTTGAAACAATTCCTTGCACCAAAATAAGTTTATAATTATATGTACTGTACAATTTTTTTTAAATTCAAAAAAAAAAAATGTAATAATTTTAAGATTCTTTATGAAACGAATATGAATTTGTTATTATCTTTATTTCTTATATTTTATGTATCGATTTTCTTAAAAAAATCCTTAAGATACATATTTTGGTTGAATTTAAAGATTATTTGTAATTTAACTTGTTCATTGCTAAAAAATAAATAGCTATGTATAATAGTTAATTTTAATATATTTTTCATATGCGTTTTCTATTCTTTTTCTTTTTTTTTCTCTTAATTTACCATAATTAATTACTATTTTAGACGTAAAACATTTATAATTTAAAAAACTAACGAATTTGCATGCCATAATATAAAACGAATCGAGAAAAGTTTATATCTAATTTCTAGATTTAAAATTTTGTACGTTTGTTGAAATTCAAGTGGATGAAACACAATGTTTACATCTTAGTTATCACTGCGTGGTATTACCATTGTCATCGAAATTTTGTTTAATGTCTGTTGTTGTTAGATTATCTTGCGTTGCTATTATATTATTATTCTCTTTCTCGGGAACGTATTCATTGCGGCCATTCACGAACCACGAAATTGTATTAAAATATAAAAACTAGTTAAATAATGATCTTTTTTATAGAAATGAAATGTTTGAGACGATCTTATTATCAAAATAATCAGAAAATAGATATTCTTGTAAAAAAAGATCTTTAAATTCCATTATAATATAGTGTCTTTTAAATTTATGATTCATTATGCAAAATTAGAAGTTTTCTAGATTAAATAAATTGACTATTTTAGTCAAAATCTGGGTGGCTGTTATTCGTACCCCACTTTTGTTATTCGTACCTGGACGATCTACAGTACAATCACGTTAAGCGGTCGAGTTTTGTGCGCAACCTATGAAGCCATATGCACTCTTATGAAACAATTATGAAATATTGTGCCTATCCACTTTCAGCATATCTCTGATGATCTAATCCTAATACTAGCCATTTTCCTTTCCACGGTATTTGAAAAAATTTTTTTTCTAATTTGTTGGCATTAAATTCTTGTTTAATAATCACAAATGTAATATTGTTAACGTTAACGATTACAATAATATTATAAATAAAAGTTTTAACGACTTAGCTGAACATAAGAATTCTCATATAATTCTTTTGGTTTTACTAAAGCTTTTCCCAATGATGAATGAAATATATTACAAAATTTAAATATAAATAAACCCACAGTCATTCTTTTTTCCGTATAGGACAACAGAGTCTAATGAAACAATAATCATAATAATATACAAATTCATAAAAAAACCACATAAACTATTTGATTTTTTTTTATTTTGTAAATACTATATTTGTAAAAAATTGTTTATTTATATAATCAAAACCAAAAACTGATGCTTGCTTCTTCTATTCTTTTATGAAGCAGCAAAAGTGTGATCTTAATTATTGTATTTTATCCTATACTCCTCCACACTAATATGGTATTGATCGTAGTACTCCAGTACTACGATCTTCCACTAATATGGTATGATCGTAGCACTCCAGCGTGTTACCCGATATAACGATATCGTAGTACACCAGACGCAAATGTATCGTTCTTATACGTGTACGACATACTATCTTATACGACCTATATTATGTGACATATACGTCGTATAAGAACATAGCACCTGATCGTATAAGAACGATACATTTGCACACCAGACTCACCAGAGTACTACAAACTAATAAGGTAATATTTGAAAGGGAGTTGATTTGAAAGAGGAAGGGTTGATATAATAAAAACAGCCTATTTTTCAATTGCCGAAAAAATTTAATACTCACATTTATTTTTTAGCTCCTTTATAACTTACTTGTGTTGCCATTAATTTCGTAAATTATGGAAAAAAAGTTTATAGTTGAAAAGTGCTGTGTAAAATGGTGATATTAAAATTATTATTTTTTTTCTTTAAAAAAATCACATGCTTTTAGTAATATTATATAAGGTCTCTTTATATTTACAATAATATTATAATGCTGTAAATATCAAATTATGCTTAGTCGCAAGTTTTTTATTGGATTCATTGTTTTTTAAAAAAAGTTCGTCGTCATTATATTTTGGACATGTTAAAATTACTAATTTATAGTTATTATTTCCATATAATATCAGACCGAAATTATAATTAATTTCGATCTAAACATATATTGACTAGTACAAAGAAATTGAAAAATCGAAATTCTGATTTTTCGAAAAGAAAGAGGAAAAAAAAAACATTTCAAAACGAAATAAAAATCACAGAAATTAACCTCTCATACTTCTAATTCTCAAGAAATTACAATCACAACAGGGAGAGTCGGAAAAGTCTTTTAAATTTTATTAGCTGTTGTATATTAATTTATTATTCGAGCAAGAAAGCAAAGAAAATATTGCGCTTTTTTGACGAAAGGTGAACATGTAGAGATAAATTTAAAGATTTAATTCACGAAGTTTTATTTACTGATTTATTTAAATCAAGTTCTTCAAATTCTCTTTGAATAAAGCCTAATTATGAATATATAGAAAGTAAGTAACGGAAATTGGCAAATGTAAGTAACGTAAAGTCACATGATCTATTACGTTACTTCTCTTATATAAGGTACGGAACGTAAATTTTTTTGGTAAATACTTTACGTTACTCCTTATATTTGCTACATGATCGCGTCATGTTTATTTGTTTATCGAATCTCGTTTTCAGTATAGGTTCATTTCCTCGGTTCCTTCCGGAAGGTTCAGTTGTTTAGTTGTTTTTCACTTTACGTTTCGTTTCTCACTCATCTTTTATTATTTTTTATTTTGTTTCTGTTTCATATTTCGTTTTTCACTAATTTTATTTCGTTTTTTTTTTAGATATTTTAGTTCTTTCAGTTCTAAAATTAATAAAGGTATGCTTTTTTTTATTTTTTATTTATTTTTTATTTGGTTATCTTTATATTTCGTTTCTTACTAATTTCTTTTTTTTTACTTCATTGTTTGTTTTTTGTTTTTTACTTGGTTTCCTATCATTACCCAACTTCCTATCATGATCTTTTTTTCATTTTTTGTCTCTCATCATTTTTCACCTCATATTACTTCTCATTATTCGTCTCTCATTATTTCTATTACATCTTTTCATTTTCCATCTCTCCTGTTTACTTCCCATCATTTCTTTTTGTCTCTCATCACTTCCTTTCGTCTCTCATCGTCTCCCATCATTTCTTTTTGTCTCCATCACTTCTTTTCGTCTCCCATCACTCCTCTCCCATCATTTCTTTTCGTCTCCCATCACTCCTTTTCGTCTTCCATCACTTCTTTTCGTCTCTCATCACTCCTTTTCGTCTCCCATCATTTCTTTTTGTCTCCCATCACTCCTTTTTGTCTCCCATCACTCCTCTTCGTCTCCCATCACTCCTCTTCGTCTTCCATCACTTCTTTTCGTCTCCCATCACTCCTCTTCGTCTCCCATCACTTCTTTTCGTCTCCCATCACTTCCCATCACTTCTTTCCGTCTCCCATCACTCTTTTTCATCATCCATCATATCCTATTTCTCCTTTTTGTTTTCTATCACTTCTCATTACTCTTTTTTACTCCCTTTCTTCTTTCCATTACTCTATTGTTATTTCATTTTGTTTATTAGCATCTTTCTCCTTGATCTTATCTTTTTTATTTATTGTTATTATTTTTTATTTGTATTAATTCATTAAAAATAAATACAGTAAATTTTTTCTTTAAAATCGAAAATGTGGGACTTAAATTTTAATATTTGCAAATAAAATTTCATTAAATAAGATTATTTTGAATAAATTGTTTGCAAAAAAAATTTAAAAAAAATATCTTTGCAATATAATTTTAAGTTTAGCAGATCAAAAATTAGCTAAGTTAAAAAATCAGCCATCAGCCGATTAATAAATATTGTACATCATGTGACATATTTGGAAAAAATTGAATCAAAGGGGTTGAGGCGCCACAAGGCATCCTATAAATCAAAGTTTATATTAGTAAGGGGAGTAACGTAAAGTAAATATAATTGACTTTACGTTCCGTGCCTTATATAAGGGAGTAACTTACTTAGCCAATTTCCGTGCTACCTGCCTACCTATATCACGTGACTACTGCGGTATCAGATGATATGCTATTTATAGCACAAACACGGTCAACCAACAACAAGATCACGCCTGCATGATAATCATTCCCAAATTAATCAAATAAACGATTAGTAATATAGGATAATCATGTATTTTTCCGAAATGTTTTCCGAATTTTTCGGAAAACTACACGATTTTTTGTTGAGTGATATTCCCCTCAGAATAGTGTGGCTTGGTGGCTTGTAAATAGATGTTTCACAAAACTATAAAAAATCGTGTAACAAATTACTTGCGATAAATATTTTTTTTTTATTTTTATTTTTATTTTTTTCGTAGAGTTGGTATTTACGTTTCGTGGTAGTAGTAAATTTAGTAAATTTCAATTTCCATTTATTTTCTTCTTTTTCTAGTTTTAGAAATAGTTTTATGTGAAATTATTAGCTTTCATATATAAATGTTTTTTTTTAAAGAATTTTAAAACGAATTCTTTTTTTCTTTTTTTTTACTGTAGAAACTTAACAAGAGGGCTGCTTAGTTAAGTTTCGTGACAAGGCTTTTTCAGGAATTTTTGCACGCAATAATTTAGGAACGACTCTATGTGAAATTTAAGAAGGTTATAGGTAAGGTTATTGTTCAGGATTATTTTAACGAATTAACATTTTTTCCCTTCAGTTTGACATTTTTTTTTCTTTCTTTACCATTTAGAAATGTTTCTATTGCGAAATCAGGAAATAAAGTTTATGGTAGTGGTTTTTTTAGGGGTCATTTTAGCGAATTTACTTTGTTTTTCTTCAATTTAACATTTTTTCTTTTTCTATTATTAGGATTTTTGCAAAATTCAAGAGGGATATTTTTATTTTTTGTGATTTTGTGGCAATATTTTCTAAATAATTTTCTATTCTTATTCTTTAATGTGAATCTAGTATTCCATTATTGTTTTTATTTTAATAAATTATGAATGTAATTCTGAATTTTTGATTTAATCATATTAATTAACATATGACTTATTGGTTTTGCTAGTACGACTAACTTTATTCATCAATATACATATGCATATTGATGTACAAAATTACTTTTACCATTACTACTACCATAAATCTAAAGAATCCAAATGCTTGACTTCTGTAAAAGGATTTTTGCCATTAAAAATTACATAATTCTTTCTTCTTTTATGAATGCTTCTTTACCATAAAAATTATAATTATAAATCATATCATATTTGCGTGTTTTTACCAACAAAACGTTTTCTTTGATTCTTTTACACATTTTTTTTACTTAATAAACATTCTTATTCAACTTTTTTACGTGATTTCTTGCTTAATAAAACTTTTTTTTACACTTTCTTAATAAAACATTTTTTTTCACTTTTACCTTAGCTTAACAAACCTTTTTCTTACAACTATCTATCTATATTTGTTAAGTGTTTTTACAGTAAAATTTATTTTGTTGCTACTTTTCATGTGTTTTGCAAGATGAATTCAATTATGGCTGAAAATACTTTATATGACATTTTCAATTTTCTTTGTAAAAATGACATTACACTTAAAAATATAATTACTTATGGCACACAATTTAATCTAAATAATGTAATACTTTCAACTAATTTTAGTCATATTTACGAAGAATGGGATTATGTCCAAAGAGATAATAAGGCGATGAAATTGATTCCTGAAAAGTATGCTAATCATATCTGTATTAAGTCAACCCCAAATGGCAATTGTTTTTTTAATAGTGCTTCATTAATTGCTTTTGGGCATGAGGACAATCATATGCAATTACGTTTAGCTGTGATGATTGAATTAATGGCGAACGCGGATCATTATTTACAACAAGAAATTTTTGAACAAGACATTTTTTATCGAGACAAAGCATTAGATAATATAAATATGGAAACTCAAAATAATTCTTTTAAAAAAGCAAGTGAATACATTTCTGAACTAAAATTAATGTGTAAACCAAATTCTTGGTGCTCTATGATTGCTTTTTTTGGATTGGCATCAGTTTTGCATAGACCTATTGAGTCTCTCTTTCCACAAACTGGTAATACATTTATGAATCAAATTTATAATCGGATTATAATGCCACGACAAGGTGATCATTTTTATCCACATTGTATTATTATGTGGAGCTCTATTTCTGCAAAGGATTTTCAAAGTAGTGGTAAATCCAATCATTTTGTACCAGTTTTTAAACGAAAAGAGTATGAACAATCTCCATTAATTCAAGAAGTACTTTCTTTGCAAAATAATCATAATGATTTAACGGCTGATAAAACAAATAATGAACATATTACTGATAGCGAAGTAGATCCAAACACTATAATTGGACTATTTATGGGAATTGATAGTGATTTTATTCCTAATAGGTGATTATTTGATTTATTCCGATGCAAAAGATTTTCAATTTGAAATTTCTTATCAAAAAGCACTAAGTTCTTTATTTATATGTGATATTGATAAAAATCAAAATTTTAATTATCATTGGAGAGATTGGCAAATAAGCAATTATCATTTATTTGAACTACTTAGAAAACAACCTGAATTCCCACCACAAATATCAATTTCTGTTAACAAAACATATGAAAACAATAAAACTTTAGTTAAACAATGTTATTGTGGAGGTTGTGACAAAAGTAATCAAACAACATTTAAAATAGTTGTTAATAAAATGGATCTAATTCAATTAAGAGAGGTTGTTAAAATTAATGTAGTATATTTGACAAATAAAAGAAAGTGTAAGCATTTAGATGGAAAAATGTTTGGTCAATGTCGTGGATATGCAAGACAAGTATTAGCGAAATCAAAAGATTTTGGATCACCTCGTGACATGAGGAAAAAAATTTTATTAAATGTTAAAAATGAAGTTCGTTACACTGGTAATTGACAGGGTATACCATCAGCCCATTCAGCTCGAACTATTTATTCTTCAAAAAATAAAGAAAATAAATCGGGTTATAACTTATGTGAACGGTTACATGCAGCTATTTTAGATATAAATAGTAATGAAAAAGATGATTATATTAAAAAAAATGGCGCTCATTCAGTTAATAAACGTCAACTATGGGGATTTATTCAAGAACCGATTCAAACACAACCTTTATCAGTTGTAATTTTTAATGAAGCAGGAATTTGTTATTACCATTAGGCCACACAAATTCAATTTTTCGGTTCACGTAACATTGAAATTTAAAATCGACCCGGGGACCCGGGGTTTATTGTTTATTAGTAAAAAAAGTTTATATATAAAATCGTGACATTTGATTGGTTTACTTTTAAAAGGGAGGAATTTATTTTCGCTCTAGAAGTTATCAGCCGCGTGATAAACTTACCCGCCAATAAAATTACGTCCCGATCACGTGATAAATTTTTTATATATAAACTTTTTTTTATTGAAATTTGAAAAAGTGACCCGGCCGGGTGAAGTGAACCGAAAATTCGAATTTGTGTGGCCTTATAATGTAAGTAATAATCCTGGAATTTTTTTAGACTATACAGGACAACTTGTAAAGCCTGTACCTCATTATCTTACGCCAGTAAATAATTCAAATAACAAAAGAATTCTAAATGCTTTTTATACAATGCCATCAAGTAATAATTCATCAGATGCTCCTCCAGTAGACGTATTTGAATTAGTAACGAATGATTTATCATCAAAAAATCTTCAGCATTATCTCCATATATATAGGCAAAAAGAATTAAAATTATTTGGTTCAAATTCAGTACCTTTTTTAATTAATACAGATTGTGCACGAAATTTATTGATTGCTATATTAGGAGAATATAACAACGAAAATGTTGATCAGTATATTGATAGAATGACGAATAGTGTCATTAATAATGAATTTGATAGGTCAAAAGTAATAGTTGGTTGGTGTTTTGGACACGCAATTAGAGCTATACGCCACCATATTAGGCAGGCTATGATCGAGGAATTTTATCAAAGTTTGCTATGCGAGTTTGGAATTCTGTTAGAGTAACGGAAACTCTTCCAAATGCTGAAAGAGAAATCGAAAAATGGGAATGGATAATGAGTCAAGAATATTTTGAATTAGCTAATGAAAACATAAATCTAATTGAAAAAAAAAAGTTTTTAAACAAAAATTTTGATATAACAAATATACCAGATTTATGTTTGGACTTGGATCATTTGGATCCAAATAATTTGGAAGAAAATATGAATAATAACCAATGCAAATTTCTCATTTATTAAATCCAGAAGAATCACATTCATGGACTTATAATTTAGATAATAATGTATTATTAAAAATCATACAAGAAAATAACGAAAATTATAAAATTTTAATTCCACAATTAGATATTACAGTTAGCGCACAGTTGTCTCAATCAAAAAGTATTAAAAATCCTTTTTATAGTTTGAATTTAGTAAAATATATGGACAAAGTATGGTGGAAGACGATTATTTTATGGAGTAATTTGGTTCCTGCTGTAAAAAGCAGAACAAGACGTACAACAGCTACAGTTGAAGTTGAAAACAATATTGTCAAAAATTTAGACATAGGTAAAAAAAATTTACCTATTGATCAATATATTTATACTAGAACTCAAACCTTAAAATCTACGCAAAATCTAATTGCAGAGACGTTAATGCGTAAAAAAAGGTAATTTTATTTATGTTTATTATTGAAATTATATAATAATTTATTAATAAATGCTTTTAATTTAGTACAAATCTGCAAACAGATACAAATGATATGTATGAACAATGGAAACCTAAAAAAAGAAAGGTTTTCTCAAAAGAAGAAACTGATATTATGAATAATTTCAAGGTTGTAATGGAATATAGAAAAGGGCTTGATGCTCCAAGCCAGTCAAGGATAGCACTTGAAATTAGGGAACTTTCGACCCATTCAATCGGATTTAATCAATCAATGGTTTCACGTATATTAAATAATATTGATATCCCAAAATGTGATAAGACGTTAGATGCAATTGTGAAATGGGTTAATTTAGAATTAGAAAGGAAAGAAAAGAATCAAACTCAAAAGCTACACTAAACGAAATTGATTAAATATTATAAATTGCTGGTGCAAATGGTAATAGTGGGGCTAGAGGTTCAGATACGATCATCAGTACAGCCCACATTGGATATTGAATTGTTAAAGGTTAAATATATGAATAGTTTTAAGCATTAATGTAATTGACGCCATAATTTTCAATTTTTGTAATGAATTTATTAAAAAATTGTCCTATACTAGATAAAATAAAAATAACCTTCGATATCCATTATATTAAATATATACACCCTTCTTATTCTTTTGACAAAGAACTTAGTTTCACTACAAATACTTTTAACGAATCGTTAAAACTTGTTTCTAAATAATAGAAGATATTAATTCATTACTATCGAACTCTCCAATACTGAAATTTGCAATAAAAAAATGGTAAAAACTATAAGACTTACATCCGTATGAACTTCTTATTGGAATTGTTCTTGGTTGGATGGTTTCTAAATGGTAAAGAAAGAAAAAAAAATGTCAAACTGAAGGGAAAAAACGTTAATTCGTTAAAATAATCCCAAACAATAACCTTACCTTATAACCTTCTTGAATTTCACATAGAGTCGTTCCTAAATTATTGCGTGCAAAATATCCTGAAAAAGCCTTGTCACGAAACTTAACTAAGCAGCCCTCTTGTTAAGTTTCTACAGTAAAAAAAAAGAAAAAAAAGGATTCGGTTTAAAATTCTTTAAAAAAAAACATTTATATATGAAAGCTAATAATTTCACATAAAACTATTTCTAAAAACTAGAAAAAGAAGAAAATAAATGGAAATTGAAATTTACTAAATTTACTACTACCACGAAACGTAAATACCAACTCTACGAAAAAAATAAAAATAAAAATAAAAAAAAAATATTTATCGCAAGTAATTTGTTACACGATTTTTTATAGTTTTGTGAAACATCTATTTACAAGCCACCAAGCCACACTATTCTGAGGGGAATATCACTCAACAAAAAATCGTGTAGTTTTCCGAAAAATTCGGAAAACATTTCGGAAAAATACATGATTATTAATATAGGTGTGTTACGTATTCACAATGGTTTTTTACTCTATATATATCAGATATTTTTTTTTTTATAAATAGCTTATTTCATTGCCCTCTAAGATGAATTAAAAATTAAATATTTAATTTTATTTTTTAAAAAGACCATATTTTCAAAATATCAATTTATTATTTAAAAATTCACCCTTAATTTTTACATTATATGCCTTTCAAAGATGATTAACGAACAAGCCAATGAGAACTTAGTTCACGTGACTACTACGATGTCAAGTATGTCTCAAAATGATAACGCTAATATTAGCACACAACAAATGACTCCAAGACAACTCGTCCAAGATCACCAAATATTGTCCAACAACTCACAAGAAGATATCAACTCACAAGATGTTATCTCGAATTTCTTTTACAAACCACCCAATGATTATCAAATTTACGATATTAGTTATAGGGAAATATCGATATCTTTTGAACTTGTATCTGAACTCTTGGGCAATAATAATAATAGTTCAGTTCAAAATAATGTTCAACAAAATAATTTGCATGAATTTTATTTTCTCAAGATTGAAGAAAAAAAATGTTATAAAGTCACTTGTGTATTAATCCCACATTCGTCAATCGTTGAATATTTAAATAAAAATATTCATGGAGTTGAATTTAATCATGAAGAACAACAGCAAGAAATATATGTTGAATTTTCTACGGAACTCAAAGAAAATCTTGAATATTATTTGAAACAATTCCTTGCATCGAAATAAGTTTACAATTGTACATCTTTTTTAATTCAAAAAAATATGTAATAATGATTAAGATTTTTTATGAAACGAATATGCATTTGTTATTTTCTTTATTTCTTATATTTTATGTATCGAATTTTCTCTAAGAAGTTGCTTATTTTGTAATCGTATAAATAAAACATAATTTATCTTAAGGATTTTTTGAGTTAGAATCACTGTGTTTAAAGATTATTTGTAATTTAACTTGTTCATTACTAAAAAAAAAATAAATAGCTATGTATAATAATTAATTTTAATATATTTTCCATATGCATTTTCTATTCTTTTTCTTTTTTTTCGCTTAAGTTGCCATAATTAATTACTATTTTTAGGCGTAAACCATTCATAAGGCTGAGACAACTTAATTCGTGATCCGTCTCCGAACCAGTGAAAACTACTAATACATTTCGGAGTAATTATCCCTTAAATGGTTTTTGAGCTGATTTTCCTAGAATTTTTTTTTATAATGAATAATAAATTGAAATAATGGAATGATAAATTTGCGTCATTTATTAGTTTCGCAAGTTTGATCAACATATACTTACCATTTAAGGTTACGATGTTATACAAATTGGTGATATATGTTATACCGAGTTGAAAATTTTAAGAGTCCTGGATTGGAGCTTCTATGCTTTTTTTTATTGGTTCAAAGCAAAAAAAAAAATATACTATTCTAAGCCAGCCCTTTCAGTTATTTTTGAAATGATTTATACTAGTATAGTAGTACAAATTGGTATAGCCAAATTTGTATTACAACTCGTATGAAAATAGTGTAACTGTGTAACCAATTGCTGGGGATTAAAGATTCGTCAAAAATTTTTATATTGGGCCTTTATCGTTCGGAATTTTGATCGGGTTTTGAGTTGATAATTATTGGCAGATGAAATTGTGTGAACCTGATCAACAACCCAACAACGAAAATGTGGTATCATTTTGATCGCTTTTTTTAACGTTTCTGGTGCTTAGTAAAGTTTTAATATGCGCCCTCAAAAAGTTTACTATACCTTTATGGTATTGCTTATTTGCCATATTTAAAAAAGAAAAATATTTTATTATACGAAAAATAAGGTGACCAAGGTTAACCGTTCAATAAGCCGATCAAAGTACTCAATTTTGATTTTGATCACATGTTAGTATTGGTTAATACTTAATAGATTTTCGATCAAAAAACCCGGACGATCAGAATTGAACAGGCCTATTGTATGATTAATTAAAAAATTTTTTCTTTAGCGACGCTGGATTCCGGCCTTTTAAAACAAATTATTTACCAGCATATAAATAATATTTAATAAAAAATATTAACTTTGTGATCGGTATAATTCTTGTAATTGTATAATATAGCGTTTTTAAAGGTATAAACAAAAAAAATATAAAAAAAAATATTAAAATTATTTATTTCTATCAATCACAAGTTGTCTAGCTTATTGTACCATATTTTGCTTATACTGAGCGATATATATCTAATTTTGAATGGTGAATACTTTTGGAATGTCAGTTTTTTCTAAACTATTTTTCTCTACTAATTTATTTCGTAAGTTCACATCACATTTCCTGCCTGCTATATCTATTGCTCTTACCTAAATTTCCTGCTAATTAATTTGCAAAAATAATTCCCTGAAAAGTAGTAGAATTCACTGGTTTGGAGACGGATCACGAATTAATTTTTTATTCAACATAACCCTCACATTCGCAAATTTAGACAAATAATATATATACGGCCAATTGCGATATTTTTACCCATGATATTTGCCGAATCAACAAATTTTCGATAACATAGATTTAACGAACTTTATTGAAAAATTTTTGTGGTTTTTTTTAAAGATGTTAACTCGGTCCTAGGGCTTATGGTCTTTTCAGTCTTAAGACTTAAAAGACTGGACCAAAAAGACTAGGGTCTTTGTGAATAGCAATAAGACTATCGGTCTTTTAAAAGACCACATATATAAATGATGAAAATATGAAAATAAAAATACTAATGCAGTAATATTTAAAAGATATGCTAAAAAGTGTAAAAAATTCATTTCATTATTGGATTGGCCAAATAATTCTAAATAGTTGAATAATTAGATAATCCATTAATATTTTTATAGAATTAATGATTTTTTTAGTTGTATATTGCAGAACTTATAAACATTAAATATATTGATTATCTGTTGGTTTACATGTGGCCAGGCAGCGTTGAATGGTTCAGTAAAAAAAATGGTAAAATAATGAATCTTAGAATTACTCGGCACCCAGCAGCGATCACAGAAAGATAAAACAACCATCATCAGACTCGTCTAGATGAGACAATTCTAACAAGCTGTATTTCATGTTTCTACAATCACAGGATCAAAAATAACTGACCAATAATATTTAAGATCGGAACTTAGGACTGGTGTTGGTCTTCACCTCAGTCCTGCTGCACCATATACAATCCGGGACCGCAGTCCGGTCCAGTCCTAAAGACCGATTGAGAAAGACCACGTAGGACTGAGTAGGACCATTTAACATCTTAAGTCTTTTTTAAAGAAAAAAATAAAACGAGGGAACATTTATCTTAAAAATATCTGTAGTTTTTAATAAGAAAAAATGCAAAGGTACGTTTATTTAAAATATTTCTTATGATCCTTTTCACTTTATAAACTTATTTTTATTAAAATAAATTTAATAAATTTAAATATTTGATAATGAATCATTATATTATTTATATTTATATAATTTAATAAAGATAATTTTTACAATGCATTAATAAATAGAAAAGTTTTCTTCAAAACTTGATAGTTTATTAAAAACGCGTTTTATTTTCACAACAAAATAAAATACAGTAAAAATAAGAAGTAGAATAGAATAAAGAATATATATTTTAATTTATTGCGGTCTGTTTAATCTATTTAAATTAGTACAAAATCACGTTACCGAAAAAAGTGGTTCAGTTGAAAACCAATATTCAGACACAATTGAAACGTCCTGAAGAATATCTATAGTAACTACTTGGGACTATCTTATACAGTCATTTTGCGCATAAAAACATCCACCTCATCAAAAATTAAAACCTAATATAAAGAATATCAACAAAAAATCGAAAGATGGAACTTCTTATTTGACTACATATTAACAATCCTAAAAAGAGTCATTATACTTCATTTCTTCAAACATCTGCTTCTCAGATCCGAATGCCATAGTAATTATTGAACGAATACAATATATACCCTCCAAATACGTCAGCTACCTTCCCCTTTCGGCAAGTCTCGTTGACGACGCTTTAATCAAAAATTTATGCAGTTAACGGGCCCTGACGATGGTTTCAGACCTTTACTTCCTAAATTGACACCTAATCTTGATTCTTGAACCAGTGACTATTCAAGACGATTTTTTTTGTCCGTGACACTACCTCATTTCTCAACAAACCCAACGTATTTCTCTGGACAATGAAGAAAACACTGACAAAGATACACCCTCAGTAGCCAAAAAACTCAAGGACGCACATGTCCCTTTAGCACCAAGCAAATCATGACTAACGAATTGAAAGAAAAGAAAAACAAACTTTATAAGTCCTTTTTTTTTGCATCACATCTGACAGTATTTACATTTTTAAATATTTCGTGTACGTATACAAATTAAAAAAAAAAAAATAGATAAATTAAAATTAAAATCAAATTAGTATAATTGTCAAATTTAGGGTCGTAAGCGGAGTAGTTTTGGCCGGCATTACGGCAATAAGAAATTATTTATGTGACTTATTGTGACAAATAAGGGAGAGACAAATATTTAATATGATCACGTGATACTACTCCGACTTCCCGGTCGTCCTACCAAATTTAGAATTGACCAACTTAAATTTCTCAACTATTACAAAGTAAACAAACAAAAAAGTGAATTATATTACGCCATATATGTCGACAAAATAATAATATAAGAATGATTTTAAGTTAATTAATGTATTACTAGTAGTTTCAGGATTAAATTGTTTAATTTGTTTTTAATATTTATTACGTGCTACAATATTTTTCGTTTAAGAATCAACTGAACAGTTACATAATAATATATATCGATTATTTATGTATATAATCAGTTTAAGTTATTTGTACAGGCATTGTATCAACAGCTGCATAGATTCCCTATAATTTATTACGCGCTTTTTTTTACGGGATTTATAGTCTCAAAATATGGAAATTATTTATCCAAGCTGCATAGATTTTTGTTATTTTTTCCGTAATTGTCCAGAGAATTTTTTTTTTTTTATATTGTTTGTAATAATCTATTATATTTATTTATTGATATATTTCCCAAGCTAAATAATAATTAGTAGGCGAAAGTATATATTTATATATTTTTCCTTTAATGAAAGATCTATTTTTTTTTTATAGAAAAAAATAGATAAATAAATTTCATCTGTGAATAGAAAGAATAGGAAAAATTTGAAATAAGAACGAAAAAATAAATAATTCTTTTTTTTTGCTTCTTTTTTTTCCAAGTGATGAAAAATTATAAATATGTAAACAACTAAAAAGAAATTATTTCAAAAAAAAAAAAATTATATAAAACTAAAAATTATCAAAGGTTATACCGTCAGGTTCGAAAGTCTGTCAGAATAAAGTGTGAAATTCATATATTTTTCTCATGTAAAATATTTCATTAAACACTATTGGCTTTTGCTTTTTATTGTCATACAAAAATGATTAAACAATTATGATGTTAATGGGTTGGTTAAGGGTGAATTTTTATTTTGCCGAGGCTTTCCCTGAATCGTTCATTTTTGTCGAAGGACATTTCGCTGAAAATACTAGTAATCAACATAATTCATTAATCAATACAAAGAAAATAAAAATGTTTCGGAAAATTGAGGAGTACGATGAAATTGTCAAATAAAATTAATTTTCCTTTACTGTAATTAAAATAAAATAAACAAACGCAACTCTTAATGTGTAAATAATATAATTCGAATGTCTTATCAAAAAGAAAAGGAAAATTGAAAAATTTCATATCTTCGGCGAAATGTCTCTTCGCCAAAATGGGCTTCGGCGAAATGTCCTTCGGTAAATGGCCATTCGGGGAAATGGAATTTCAGTGAAATGGCACTTCGGTGAAACATCCCTTCACCGATATTGTTTTGTGAAATGGACTTCGGTGAAAAGTCCAGCAGATACCCAAATTAATATCACATATTCTATTATCATACCCAAAGTCATCATAATACAAGTTCATGTATAACTTGTAAACTGTAACTTTGAGGTTTGATTCATTTGCTTTTTTTTCTGCTGATATACGGTGGTTTTTAGATAAGAACAACATTAAGATGACGTTTATTATCGCATTTGTTGGATGAGATGCATTTACCTATAAGTAGGGAGAATTTTTATAAATATTATTATTAATGAACACTTGACCGCAGTTGCATATCTCACCGCTGAATACTTTGCATAGATGTGTAACAATTATGCATTTGTGCAATAGGGATTTCTGTATTGCATAATAATAATAATATAAATATTATTATCATTGTACATCAAATTAATTTAAAAATTTTCTTTTTAAATAACAAACTGAAACAAGTTAAATTTACATAATGCAGTAATTTGTTTGAAGTTTTGTTAATAATAGAGTTTGAATCCGGGAATTAAAAATTCAATAAAGACTGCAATGATCATCTATAATGAGTTAATAACAACGAATATTATAATAATGGATCTAGAACCAAAATATCCGCCGGATATCTCGGATTTCCTGTAAAAAAAAGTCAATCCGTTTTTTATATTTCATCTTTTTTCCGTAAAAAGTTCATATTTTCAGAATTAATAACCTTATACGGAATTTATCGAATTATTTACATTTTTTCGTGAATGGGATCCGTGAAAGACTCATTTTTACGGAGTTCTTTTACAGAAATAACGAATAAATTTTTTATAATGATTACGGATATTCGAAATGTAATTTGTATATAGAGAAATTTTTTTGATTCAAACATTTATTCTTAACCGTAAATTACAATTTTATTTAATATTTGAACGGATAACGGATCCAAACTTTAAACACGAATTTATCATTAATACTTTCGTCATAATCCTTTATTATAATATTATAATTCAAAATTTTGAATTTAACAACTTTAAAAATAAGATTTTACTAATATGGTCACAAAATTTGAATTTTTATTTTTATCACAAAACACTTTTTGAAACAACAAAGTGTAAGAAACTTCAAACATAAATAAATTTTATAACGTTTCGTAAAAACTGAAAAAAAAAATGTCACCAATTCTGTTCCGTTCCCATTTGTATAACACACAGTTAAATTAAACATTGCTTCTTTATCATCTTTTCTGCTGTTTTTTGACACCAATGAAGAACTTTTCTTTGCTTGGATAAGGTTGTATGACATTTGGGATTTACGATATTATACCAAATTTGGATCCGATTTTCCGGTATATAAAACGAAATTCCCTCTATTCTGAACATTTTTTTCTGAACACTAAACCTTTTCAAAGATATTAAAAAATTTATAAAAATTTACGCTTAATTTTTTTACATTATATGCCTTCCAAAATGGTTAGCGAACAAACCTATGAAAACTTATCATACGTGAATACTGTAATGTCAAGTACGTCTCAATCTCAAAATGATAATGCAAATATTAGCATGCAACAAATAACTCCAAGACAATCCGCCCAAGATCACCAAATATTGACCACAGAAGACATCAACTCACAGGATGTTATCTCGAATTTCTTTTACAAACCACCCAATGATTATCAAATTTACGATATTAGTTATAGGGAAACATCAATATCTTTTGAACTTGTATCTGAGATTTTAGATAACAATAATAATTACTCAGTTCAAAATCATGTTCAACCAAATAATTTGCATGAATTTTATTTTCTCAAAGTTGAAGAAAAAAAATGTTATAAAGTCACTTGTGTATTAATCCCACATTCGTCGATCATTGAATATTTAAATAAAAATATTCATGGAGTCGAATTTAATCATAATGAACAACAACAAGAAATATATGTTGAATTTTCTAGGGAACTCAGAGAAAATCTTGAATATTATTTGAAACAATTCCTTGCATCGAAATAAATCTACACTTTTTTGATTTACAATGTAGAAAAAATATGTAACTATTAAGATTTTTTATGAACAAAATATGAATCTTTACTTTTCTCTTTTAAAAAGAAAATCATTATAAGAAAAATTATGTTTTATGTCATATCCCTTAAACCGTAAGAGTTAAAATAAAAATTTTTGAATCTTTAAGATATCTTAAGATCTAGTGATCATAAAAAAAAAAAATTAAGTCTGTTAGATTCCTCTTATTAAGGGCATTTAATGGTAATAAAATCATATCTCTAAAATCGTTAGATATAAAATCCAGAAATTTATAAATTAATATAACTTTCTAAGATATCCTGTCACATAATATTTGTAGAAGAATAATTTTTATTCTATCAGATTCTTCTCATTAAGACGCGTGGTAGTTTTAGTAATAATTTGTCGATCATTTTTAAATCATTAATCTGAACTTTTTTTCGATTTTTATTTAGAAAATATCATAAAATTTATTACAAAATCATTAGTTTATTTAATAAAATATTTTAAGACATTTAATAGTGTCTTTAATTAAAAACAAAATTGCAGACAAATTTACCTGCCGAACGGTTTAAGTGATAAGATAAAAAATTAGGACGGGTAATATTTAATTTTTAAACAAGTTCTTAATTCCAACCCTGAAAGGTTGCTTATTTTATTAGCATAAACAGCCATAATTAGTTGATTCTTAAATATATTTTCATATGTAATTTTATATTATTTCTCCTTTTTTTTGCTTAATGCTTAATTTACATAATTATTGTTTGGATGAAAAACGTTCATAATTTAAAACTAACGATTATTTTTCTCGTGCCACGATATAAAACGAATCGAAAGAAGTTTTTCTAAGCTAAAAATTTCGAAAATCAAGTGGATGAGTCAAAGCTCACATCTTGATTATCATTGCATGGCATGCCATTATTATTATCATAATTTCGATTAATATCTATTGTTGGATTAGCTTGCGTTGTTTCCATATTATTATTCTCTCTCATAGGAACGAGATCAATTTGTTGCTGTGTATAAGTTGAATAAGCGCTACGAGTAGAGTCATATTGATAATCAAGATTAGTATAAGTCGTTGTATAATAATCTGTTCTCGTTTCTTGACCAGGAATTTGGCGTTGTGAAAGATTGTTGAGATCGGCTTGTTGAATATCATCAATTCTATTTTGATGATGAAGTAAACAATCGTTCTGAATATTATTCTCATGAGATAAGTTCGTATTTCTATTGTTACAAATATCACTTTCATGAGATGAAAAATTATTTAAACCAACATGTTGTTGTGAACAAATAACACTATTATTAATATAGCCTCCAACACTATTTTGATGATGCAAGCCAATATTATTATTATTTTGATTTTCGGACATCAAAACTGTCTGTGACGTTGCCATTACATTAGTTCTAATATTCACATTTGTATTTCTATCTTCTCTTGGTAACATACTAGTATTACTGAAATTAATTAGTTTTTGTGGATGAGTGTAACCTTCAGCGTCATTTAGGTAAAATCTATTTTGATTTTGGTTACCAAAATGGTTTTGATTATCAGTCATTAAAACTACCTGTTCAGCATTGCGATCACGAAGGGGATTCATATTTCTATCAGAAACTACTCTCATTTCTCTTTTAGGGATACGGCTTTGCATAAGATAATAAGGAAGAACTTGTTTCAAACTTTGTTCTAAATTTAATCTTTGTTCCGATGAAAAGGATTTTTTTAGTTCCAAATTATTTACGCCAATATCATTTCCATACATTTTTCTATTCAAGATATTTACGATCAAAGAATGTGAGTACAATTTACATTTAACGTAATAATTAATTTCCGATTCACAATAAAAGAATCCATGATCGTAATCATGATCATCTGAAGAGGCAGAAATAATCTGACAAGTTACGTGATAAAAATTATTATCATTCGGAGTATGATGAAAAAATCTAAATTCGGTGATGAGAGGAGGTTGGGCATAATCTATCATAGATGATTGTTGAGGATTCATTTTTTAACGAATAATTTATAAAAAAAAAACTTAGATGCGAGGTGTATTACAGATTTTAAAGGCGCGTAAAGGAAATAAATGTGTATAAAAACTTAAATAGATTTTAACATAAAAGAAATAACAAAAGCACAAATACAAAATATGTCAATAAATTGTATGTATAAATAATTAATTATGATTCTCTTTTTTTTTTTTTTTTTTTTTTTATTAATTTTTTTTTTAATTTGATAAATTATCTTAGACGATCGCTTTATTTATATCAGACTTTTAAATATTCAAGTGGAAATAAATAATTAACCCACGTTCCCATCAGTGTTAGTGGTTTAAATCTCCAATAATATTCATTTTATCATTCTTGCCTTATTCGTAAAAATATAAAGAATCAATGATTCAATGGACAAGATTCTAAAAACGATATTTGTTTTGTTACTATAAAATTTTTCCTTATGATATATTGATATATATATATATATATATATAGCTATTTTTAGATTTACCTATTGTTATTTCTGATAAATTGTTTATTGTGTCGATTATCATGTGATTTAATCGAATGTTCTTGTTGATGCGTGTATGTCACACAAGTGGGTAGCAAGACAACAATAATTGCAACGGAACTTTGAAGTTTCATTATTGTATACAAGAAATATTCATTTTAAGATAAATTGAAATAATAATATATAATATGTTAAATTATTAAAGTTGTATCTTTTTAATCTTAGACCTAAAAATATGTGTGAACAATGTACATCAAACACAAAGAATCATTCTAATTTTATCCAAAAAAATTTATGCATTCCCTTAATAAATTATCTTAATTGAAAATTACATTTTTATCGTAAATTTACAATAAAAGAGAATATTTTGTTTCACTTTTATTAAACAATTATTTAATTAAACAATTGGAATTTAGAAAACGTAGAATAATGACAATGATCTTATTTTAAGTTATAAAAACCAATCATTGTTGAGATATTATATCATAAAGTCGATTATCATTATGGTAAGTCATAGACAGAATAATGATATTTATTTGTCATCTATTCATGATTTATTTAGAAAATAAACAATTAAAATACATGAAAGAATCAATGGACAAAATTATGAAAAATTTTTTTTTATTACAAGTTTAATATGATAAATATTTATTCTAGGGACTAAATAAAAACATGCATAAAGAATTGTTATTGTTCTTTGTATAAACGGCCCGAAATTTCCCAATTTTCCTTAAATAGTAATGTTTGTTGATTATCACGCGATTTTTAATTTAACGTTTTATTAATATCTAAAAAAGGCAATGTAGACCTGCCAAAAATAGCAAAGACTTAATAATATTTATAATATTTAATGTTTTTTTTAACAAAGAATTTTAGGTGAAATGAATTAAAGGAAAATATACACCGATAGTATGACATGATTACATAAATGTATCGCAGCGAATCTTTCGGATATATCGACCAATAACAAGATTTTGTATCGTGATACTTGGTTTAAAATTCTTGGCTCATATCATGAAATAATCACATGTTAATAAAATTAATATAATAGTTTTATTAGGACTAGGTTAAAGTATTCTAGAATATAAAGAAAAAGGGGCGTTCACTCTCAAAAAATACAAAATTATAAATAACTCAAATTTAACAATAACAAGTTATTGTCCGTCTAAAAGGTGAAATAAGGGCAAAATAAAATTTAAAAATCATGTGATTTACATCATACGTATTATTGCGTATAGAAAACGTATCGAAAAATATATTGTATATATCGATATTGTTTATTGTCAACTAATTGCTGCGGACGAGTAATTTGGCATGGTATCGTAATTTTAATAAATATTAGTTGTTGAAATGACTTGTAACATTTCAATTTTTCCATTAAATGAAATTTTAGGAAATTCGCTGAGAGATATTAATATTATTGTATTACAGTTGCCGTGAATTAATGATGATGTTACGTTTGTCGAGAAAAATCACTTTCATTATTAAAATTATTTCGACTGTTGATTGGTGAAACCTTTCTGTATATTATTATTATTTACATTATTTACACGAAAAAAAAAATGTAACATAAATAATTTAATTTGAAATCATAAAATAATTCATGATCGTAATCATGACATCATTTGGTATATTCGGTATTACTAGGTCGTTGATTATAAAGATTTCATTTATTGACAATAATTTAGGTATAAATAGAAGCTTTATTAACAGTATAATGTAAATATAATTAAAATAAATAAATATATATTTATATTTATTTAGGCGTTATGTGTATGATGATATAACTTCCATTATATGTATTATTATGTATAGAATTTTAATAAGAGTTTTTTTATACAAAATATGTACACAGGGGTTATTGTTGTTTCATCTTTTCATGGCAAGTCATATGATCAAGTTACACATTTTCCGCTTTTAACTTGATTACATGGATCCGGGAATCCTTAATTCTAAATCCAGCAATAAAACGTGAAATGCAGATATATATTCTTACACGTTTTCACGTAAATTCTTCCACGTTTCACGCACATCTTCCACGTTTCACATCGATTTAAAATTAGTATTTATGACGATAAGTTACACTCAGTTACGGCATATTTTTTAAAACGAGAGATCTAATCCATATAATAACTAGTTTGAAATCAAAAAGGTTGAATACGCAGCCCATCTTTCTGATTTAAATAACATCCTATGTAAATAATATGCAGTAATAAGGTGATACAGTCCAAGAGTATCGAGAAATCATAAGATTTTCATATTGTTTAATCAATATGATCAATATGAAACTTTGAGGCTGATCCTCTTAATATTTTAAACCACCTTTTAAGATAACTTTAAACAACGTTTGTAGCGACTAATTTAGGAAAATTATTCAATCATTATGAAGGGATCTTAAAAAATTATGCGTAAAATATAGTATACTATAATAAAAAAAAAACATTGCGAAAAATACACATTTAAAACGTGGAATTTTGTTTATTTCCTTTCATCATAAAATTTCATTCTTTTAAAACATCAATAATCAAAAGAATTAGTTATAATATTTCTCTGTTTTTCCTATAATACCGTCTCTCTCATGATTTTGATCGATATTTACGACGATAAACCTTAAAAAAGTTATAATAAGTATGAAATTTATATAAAAAGAAAGCAACACAAACTTAAATCTTTTCCTTAAAAAAAGGTAAGTAAATTAAATTTCTTTCTAGGGTTGATATTTTTTGCGTTTGTCTCTCAGTCTTATTTAGAGATCTTGATTGAAAAGTGGAATTGAAGATTGTTGGTACAGAAGCGGGGAAAATGTCAAAAAAAAATGTGTAGATTTTCCAAGAAATTCAATACTCAAAAATCAAGAATGCTATCAATAACTTACAAAATTTTCACTTCTCTAAATCAAAATTCTACGCAACTTCCTTCAATTAGATAAATCAGTGTCGGATCATTTTGATAAAATACGTAACGTATTCTATAGTGTGCGATCGCTAATTTAACACATAAGGGTGTCGTGATTTGGGAAATTTCTAACCAGTTAACGTTAGTGTAAATTATATGTTAGTGTAATTATATACAACAACAATTACAACAATTACAACATAAAGGGAAAATCACCGATTTAGAATGAAAAAAAAAAATATATTACTAAAAAGAATTTTTTTTTTTTATTATGATTAGTGATCAAGTTATTATTTTAGGGAGGTTAAGGATAAGGATAAAGAGTTATGAATTAAATAGAAATTCAAAATTTTGATCTTGTAAATTCCATGGAATTATTATAAAGACGCATAAAATTCGCTTCATTTCTACCGCAATAAAAAAACCCAAAAATGATGCTTAACCTCCCTATTCCATAACTTTATATTAAAAAAAAAAAATATTAAAATCACGAGCGAAAAAAGTTAGCAATCTCTTTAGCGTAAAATAATAAAAAAGAACTCCGATTTTCTCTTTTTTTTTAAAAAAAAAAAATATATCAAAAAAAAAGAAATATGTTTTTTTTTGTTTCTAAAAAAAGGCAAAATTCTAATCAAAAAAAAAAAATAAAAATACAAAATAATAAACTACCATAAAAAAAAATAATATTTTTTCTTTTTTTGATTTTTTTTTTTTTTTCTCCTTTTTTTCCTTAAACTATATACAAGCATCTATATTAATAAATAATGAGCCAAGTATTCAATCAATTGCAATAAATATAAAGCGATAAAAAAAAGGAATATTAATAATGATAATAAAGAAAGAAAAGAATGAAAAAGAACGAACGACTGATTGTACGATAGAAAAGAAGTATCGCAATACATCCATCGGAGAGGAACCCGCTCTTATTCTCTTATGGCACACGCAGATTATATTATGTGATTAATGGTCTTTTTTACCCGTTTTTTTGTACTATACGCATTATTCGTATTATTCAGTTATTGTTAAATTTAGGGAGAATCCATGATCATGATATCAAGAGTATCAATATGTGGAAAATGTTGCAAAGCTGATGAAACATTTGATCTTGTTCCGGTAATACGAATTTGAGAAAGTGGAAATTGTCTAGGATCAACATCAACTCCTAATGCGCTGACCGTGGCAGCAATATTTTGTGTAGTATCGGCTGTAGTACCAGATTGTTTATTTTTTTCTTCCTCGGCGGAAGCAGCTGAATTATCACGTTTTAATGCATCTTCCATAATTCTTATACGACATTCCTTTCTCTTTTTAACCCATTCCGGAAATTTACTACCACTAATCACTTCATATTCCTTGTAAGATGATTTAACATCAGGAGTCCAAAAAAGAACTTGATTATTATGACGTACGTAAACTAAACCTTCGAGAACTTTATCGTTCTCCCATGCGTGATCTTTACTAAAACTTTTACAATTAAAAAATAATAAAAATAAATTAATATTTAGAATTGAAATAAAAAAATAAAATAAAAAAATTTAAATTTATACTAACATAATTGAAGTAGTGTTTTTCATCAAACAATCATGACAATATCTTACACGAAATTGCCAATAAACCTTCACAGTTTTTTTTGTTGAACAATTTTGACAACTTGTTAATAGCTTTCCAAATCGAATATACTCTTCTTCGTACATTCCTTCGGGTGGAGATAATTGAAGACCTGTAAGAAATTTGATCCTAGAAGTACGCCAAATATCCTGTGTAATCGAAGATTCTGGGGAACACAAAAATCCTCGGAATCTTTTACAAACGCCCGTCAATGTTAAAAGATCTGATGGCGGTAGGTGTTCACATATTTTAATAAAAATCTCTGGAGGAATTGTAATAGCTATTGGAATATGATGATTTGTATTTGAAAAAGCCGTTGAAGAAGATTGTGAACTATTTGATGATAATGATAAACATGAAGAGGAAGCAGCAGATGATGATGATGATGCTGCTAGAGAAATGGTCATAGAAGAAGAATCTGCGATTGTAGTAGCCATTTGTAATTCAGTAAATTCGAATTTAAGCTTTTTTTTTCTTGGAGAAAATGATTTCATTGAAACCTATTTAAAATTTTATAAATTATGAAAAGAAATTATTAATATAAATTTAACAAGTAAATTCTTTTTTTTTTTTTTTAAAAAAAAAAAAAAAAAACATTTAAATAAATAAATAAATAAATAAAAATTTTTTAAACTTTTTAAGACTTTTTTCATCTAAATCTCCTTAATAAACAGTACATACTTTAAAAAGTTCGTTAATACTTGAACTTACGACAGTTAGACAGGCATAAAAGGTGTTTGTAATAGACAACACCCTGCAAATGCGCTCGAAATCTAACAAGTCGTATGTTTATTAGGTAAATAAAGACTTTTTAATGTGGGAATTATATTATTTTTTTTTTTGCGACTTCAAAAATAAGCCACAAATCCTATATATAGAAATGCCGAGTAATTTTTTCAACCAATAATATTCTCAGCTGTAATGTTGTGCCCAGTGTGATGTTGGCGTAGGTTTATTTTATTTTTCGTTTCCAATATTGGGAATGCGCACTTAATATATACCTTTTTTGGCCCAAACTATCCTATTATGGACCTAAAATAAAAACAACAATTAACAATTAAACAATATAAATTTTTAGAATACGGTAAATCTTTTTATTCTTTTATTTTTCGTATAGAGCTTCATTAAAATCAATAAAATCGAATTGAAAAAATTATTTTTCCGATATTTCTTTAAAAAATCAGTTTTATTATTGGATGAGATATTATTTTATTCAAACCAGTGTAACAAAACAATAAAATTTTCCGTATTATCTATATTCCATTTAAAGAGTACTGTATATACGTAATAATTCCTTTATATGTCATCAATAATTCTTTTTTAATACATATAAAATACCGCAAATAAATAATACATATTAATATTAGTTGATAAAAATTCTTTATTTTAAAGAATTTCTTTAATAGTAGTTATTAACTAAAAAGGTTGTACATTTTATTATCCTAACAAATTCACAATAGTTCACCTAGTATTAATTATTATAAACTAGTTTAAATTATTTAAGGTATTTAAGGTTAAGTTTTCGGCCCATAATTTTTGGGGCTTTTTATTTTCGGGCTGATAAAAAAAATACGTAATATGGCGTAGTAAAGTTTTTTCACGTGCAATAATGTGCAATAATTACAAGCTGCACATTTTGATCTACATGTACAAGACAGTACAACATGTACAACAATGACATCTAACATTAGCTAATGATTTAACCATTTTAAATATACAAAAATTGTTTGTTTTTGTGATAATCTTGCATAAATAATTACAGTATATGCTTGTATAAATTTATTATTTTCTTCATGTAATGATCTTATAAGCTTTTAACGCAACATATCGATGAACTGTTGTGCTCTAAATATTAATTATTTTTTTAAAATAACTAGTGAAAGAAATAAAATTTTACAATAAAATGAAGAAAATCTTACCGGATGAAGGAGATCCCAAAAAAAATGTTGGGTTGGATCTAAAAAAAGAATATTATTTATAACTTTAAATAAAAAGAAATATATCATTACTTTTGATATATATACTTACTTGAACAAATGGTAAAAGTGTTACGTCCAGTTCTTATAACACAAGCATTATCAAAATCCGTTAATCCAAATTCTTTTCTGATATTGGCTTGTTGAAGTTCATCCCAAATTTCGTTCATGGGTAAAATATATAAAGTAACCTCCTTATATTCCTGTCTAAATTTCTTGACATAAGAATCTAAGGCAGCATTATGTGCACTTGATACTGATTCATTCAATAATTTTTTAAATACATCAATATTTCTTACCGCTTTCGGTAAATGCTCAAGATCAAAAAATTGGTTAATTAAGAGATACTTTGCTCCAACTTTTGCTAATGTTACCCATTGTTCATACAATAATCTTACTACTTCTTGTGGATTTGCATTTGGATTGTTTATCTAAAATATTTGAAAATTAATGAAATCGTTTAAATTAAATTTCAATAGGAAAAAACATATAAATTTTTTAAAAAAGGAATTACATAATCGTTCCCTTGGTGTCCTATGATATATAGTGTTTTATCAAAATTAACACTTTTAGTCTTCGCTTCGGATAAATATAATTTCTCTATTTCTTGTTTTATCCCCGGCACAGGAATGTTATAGTCCAAGCCGTTTGAGGCTAAATAGGTTTCAAAGAATTGATTTATTTTTTTAAAAAAATAAATCTTTATGATTACGGCATTTCGCCGAAAATTATTTCTCCGAAAGTACGTTTTCGCCGAAAAATAGGACCAACATTATACAGCATTATGAACAGCTCAGGCCAGAGATTATTTTTTGACGAAATGCCCAATACTATTAAGGGTAAGTTAGTAATCATACCTATGACGAATTTACTGTCAACCGTAGCACCACTGAAGGCATGATTTTCTTCTTTTGCATGACAATAATCAGATAAATATTCAACCCAAACTGGTCCATTGCTAAATCTTCCATTATAATAGTATTCTTTGGGCGGATACGTATAATTAGTTAAAGGCCATGAATTATTTCCATTATCACAAGTGGAGTCACCGAATACCTTATTTAAAGGTTAAAGAGTTACGATTAAAGAAAAACCTTTTTAAATCATAATAAAAGCATAATAAAAGACAACTTACGACTATCGTATTGAATTGACAAGTTAGTGATAATGCTTCAATTATCTCAATTGAAAGATACTGTAATAAACCAATGTAAATAATTAAAAATAATAAACTTGACTTTGAAAGCATTTTTTTTTTTTTCAACAAAGTTAAAAAACAAATTTTAACCCTTCTCGTTAATTAAAATTTTTAGACTAAATAATCAAACAAAAATTGAATAAATAAAACAGTTGTCTTTCTATCGTTATTCCAACAAGAAAGCAACGTCAGCATAGAGATTCTTTTGCGCCACTAATAACATAGTATAGCCATCAAAAGCCACAATACATACAATATAACAAATGATAACTAAGAAAGTAAGGCAGACTGTATAGAAATACATTTTGCATTATGTTTGGTTAAGGGCGTTTTGATGTGGTTTTTTTAAGCTAAACATGTATTTATTTGAAAAAATTTTTATTTATACAGTGAATCATTTATGGCAGGTTATTGTATTTTTTTGTATTGTTACGCCACAACAATACGATTGTCATCTTTAAATAAAGTTTATTTAATCTACCCTTAAATGGTAATTTTTGTTAATCTTATATTATTGAAAATTTCTTAATTTATACAGGGTGTATCAGTTTTATCACGTGACTTTATAAAAAGAATTTATGTAAAAAAAATTTTAATAAATATAAATTTTAAAAGAAATATGTGGTATATGTATTTTTGTCCGTTCTACAAGTTTACTTAAAGCATCAAAGTTGGTTTCGAATGTCAATTTTGACAATTTTGACTTATCTATCAAAATCTGGGTTTTTTCGTTTCAAATGATGAAATGATCAGCATAGAAGATTTACTTTTTGGAAGCCTATCCCTTGTACTTTAATTGTCTAAATTTATAAATGAATTACATGTACCGATGTTTTGATATACCGATATTTTATTCCAAAAACAGCTGTATCGGTAATTCGATAGAGGTTTGACTGGAGGCTCTCCACAGAGTTATAAAATTGCGTCACATGTCATATGACATACGTCTGATGAAAAAAAGAGACTTATGACGTAACTAAGTATTAACAATCAAAATTATTGACTTTGATCACATATTCGAATTGATGATATAAGAAACCTTTAAACATTTTATATTAGATTTATATAAATATTTTATATTACTTTAGTTAAATGACTGATTTATTTTAAAGTATTAATACAAATTACATATATTTAGTTGCGTCATATGTCTTAAGCAATATACGTCATCAAGTCAATTTTAATCTGCTATGACGTGACTTAACTTAGCATTACGTCACGTCATAAGGGCTAAGAGATAGTGATAACTGACGTGTTATTACAGCTTATAAAAAGGTGCAAATCTTTTATACAGGATAATTATTATATATGGGGTGATTGTGTATGGAGGTTGGCTGTATGCATGTTTCATTTATAAATTATAAAAATTTATTGTTTTTTAATAAATCAACCTCACGGGATTTGGAATTGCTTCTTCCAATTCTGGTAAATTATTTGTATCACATTTTGAAGATATGGTGAAATAATTCTACATTATAGTGTTCCGAAAGGGTCAGGTCAAACCCAGGTTATTTACCCGACTCGTATTTGGAGGGGTCGCATGATTTGATGACCCGTAACCCACATGAACTTGACCCGACCCGTCAAGTCGTGTTATACCTTTATTTTGACCCAGTGACCCGAACAGCCGAACCTTTTTATTATATTTTTAACTACAAATTTCAGAAATCTTATTCAATTTGAAAATTTATTTCGTTATTGCAGCTATTTGCAAAAATAACGGACCACCTAATTCAATTTTTGACTGCGTATGAAATTTTCATACGCAGCCATATCATACACGCATAGTAAACTGCTAGATATAACTGCGGATGACTGCATATGAAAAATTCAAAAAATGAGTTTGACGGTCTGGGCAGATATTATCATGCGTATGACTGTGTATGAAAATTCATACGCAGTTGAAAAATGAATTAGGTGGTCCGTTATTTTCGCAAATAGCTGTAAATACAACTTAAACCGGGTTATCCGAGTCAGACTATAATCAGGCCAAGTCAAATCCGAGTCGTTACTTTTACACTCGGGTCGAGTTCGAATATACCTCAAAATTTGGAACACTAGACTACGTACTTCACTTTACAAGAGATTCTACCAAACAAATTATCGGTTCGGAAAAAATTTACAAACCGATAAACCAAATTAATGCTGGAATCACTATTATGCAAAAATAAACGATAAAATGTTCGACTATCATCTTAGACTAAACGTCCGGATTCCATATTATAATAGTGTGGTTTGGGTGTCACCCGGATCTGTAGTCTGTAGAATGTGTATGTTCTTCATTTCAAAAAAATTCTGTGAATTTTTTTTATTGATTTTTTTTTCTTTTTTTTTACATACTCACCATCTAATAACGAAATTACTATGTATATCAGAAACGAAAAACTAAATGTTTTAAAGAAAGAAACTTTGTGTAACAAAATCTAATCACGTTGGGGTGGTAGATATACTAATTAAATCAAATACATGTATATGTATAGTCAGAATTTTTTTACTAGTTTTTTTTTTTAATTATCGAGTTTGGAATGGTATATTATATCTGCCCTATAAAAAATATTGTCCAAACATTGTTTCAGTTTTTTGTTCAGAAAATCGATCCTGTTCCGAACATTTACTTGACATTTATTGGACATTCATCATGATATTGTACTTTTATGTGATTAAAGTTCTCAATCTCCGCGAGTGTCCGAAAATTGACCCCATTTCGAATATTTATCGGACAAACATTTTTTATAGGGCCGGGTTTTTTGGTATTACAGCTGTTTTAATATTATTCGGGACAAAGTAAAATTTTGAACCCGACATCCGGTCCGGTATGTTGGATGTTGATTGTTACGTGATATTTTTTTTGTTTATAGTTAAACGTAACTCATATAATCATATGAATGAACTGAATTATTGATTCATATCATATTTATATTTATATTTATATATTAATTATTAAAATAAATGTTTCTGGAATAAAAATTACATTGAGAATTTAGTATACTTTTTTATGCGTATATCCAAGTCTATGTAAAGTTCGGCATAATGTTGACTTCTTTACATCCAAAGTTCCATTTCTGATTAAAGTTCATACAAATACTAGTCAATCCTTTCTTTAAGCAGAACTTCAAGTCATTAGAGTTGAATATGTTTTCTAAAATATTGGCATACGTGATCAACGGCTGACTTATTAATACCAAGATGTTTAGCAATTTGCCGAGTTGTCAAGCCTTCTAAAGTTTTTCCATCTAATATGTAATGAAAGCATTGAGTTGTCATGATAACATGAAATAATTGGTTGTATAATTGAACTTGTTTATTTTGTTTATTTCACCATTGATCATTTAGTATAATCGATTCACGTGACAATTCGACATCCGACATACCAGACCAGATGTCGTGTTCAAAATTTTACCTTGTTCTGAATAATATGAAAACAGCTGTAAATTGGCGGTATTGTAAATGTCGGGATTGTTTTGTGTTAGCCATTTGTCTATTAAAAAATCCGAAATCTTTAAATCATGTTTTATTGGCTTAAACCAGACTTTTTTGCTGGAATCAAATCACGTATATTAAAATAGTTTCGATATACCGAAGTTTATTAGTAAAAGCTCTATATTTCACTATAACGGATCAATTTTCTAAGCAGCTATAGTAAAATTAAAAATGATTCGATAAACTGGACCTCCATACTTAAAAATAATTAATTTTAAAATTAAAAAAATCATTGAAACATAATAATTTTGTTAATGATCACGTAATTTGATACATTTGAAACCCAATTAAATTGATTTCACGTGATACAGATGGCAAAAGAAGATTTTTTCCAACTTTAGTTGTTTTTAGTATATGTAATATTTTGATAAATTAAATAAAGAGATTTTTTAAGTTTTTAATTTTTGTTACGTCGCATAAAAATTGATATACCGGATTATTTTATATGAAATCCGGTATTATCGAAATTTTTTCGCTATACCAGATATCCAAATAAACCGGATATTTTTAGCGAGACTGATAGAACCGGTTTATCGAATTTCACTGTGTACACAATAACTTGAAGAAAATGAAAATAGAAAGCTTTTTTTGAAATTGCTCAAGAAAAAAAAAAAGATTTCCTATAGAAGCAGTTAGAAAGCTTAACAAATGCTTGTTACAGTTCTTTTTAAGAAAATCGAACTATTTCATGAAAGAGACGGTGTTTTAGAATGTTTTTGCAGAATTCAGAATGAAAAATGATGAGAAGAATTCAAAGTTGTGAAAGCTTAAAAAATATCAAATTTTAATAAAAATTTATTTTAAAAAACTAATTTTAATAGCTTAATATGATAATCACGAAAATAATAAGTTCTATATATATATTTGATTTAATTAGTATATCTAACACCCATAGTCACGTGCCTTAACTACCCGATTCCTGTCTTAGAATGATAAAACATCTATAATCTTAATAAACATATCATTTAGCTTAATAAACATCTTAAAAAAAAATAATAAAGTTACATATATTATCCTAATTTTTATTCTAAACACATGCTAATATCATAATAATATCATAATATTCTTAGATGATTGAATTGAATCATGTACTTCCTAAGAGGCTTCATTCGAAGGGATCACATTACTGTCATTCGTATTTACTTGAGAATTAGGCGGCATCATATCTAATTGAAAATTAGGAATGGTGTCGAAAGTTTGAGATGGTTGTTGAGGTTGATAAATATATTGAACTCGTTGGTGAATCTGTTGGCGAATAAAACTTTGTACATTTTGGTGGTAAGGAAAGTGCGAATCAGGAATATGTGATGTATCAACACCGTTGTTTAATAATGTTGAGATTTCAAATAAGTGTAATTGTGTATAAATGACTCGATAGATTGTATCATTTGGTAAAGGTAGGTAGAATTCAAATGTGTTTGAGGGCACAGTATCATTTGAATTATAAATTCCTACATGATAATTAATACTATTATCATTATTATTAGGAATTCGTATAGGAACGAAGCTATTTCCAACTTGATCTTCTGGTAGACTCAAGTAATCTTGTGCTGAACGATCATTTGAACCATTATTCATTATATATATTTTTTTTATAGAATTTTAAGAGATTATTTTTTGATGTTTTTTTAAGAAATTATGAATTTTTTTTAATTTATTTAATATTATTATTTTTTTTTTTTTGAAAAAAAGTTGGAGATTGAGAGCGAGAGTATTTATATTAAAAAATTACCGATTGGATAATTATTTTTGTTGTTAGAGCGTTTACACCATTGAGAAAATTTTATATAAAGTGATAATAATATTTTCGCATTTGAATTCGAAAATAGTTTTCAAATAAACAAACAAACAAAGAACAAGATCAAAGAGAATTTTTTATGATTACCGTAAGTTATAGATTATCTTTTGTTAATCAATCACCAATTTATGATATCATTATTAATCAATCACAATTTATGATATCATTATATCTAAAATTCTAAAAGTATTATAAGTATTATGTAAATGCAAATGCAACTAAAAATACTTGTCAAGGCATGATTTTTTTTTTTAAACGTGATAAATATTAAAACTCGTAGCATAATCATGTTATTTATGAACCATAGTATTTACAAGGGAGTTTATTTACTGTCTCATGTTCAGTGTCACCAAAATACAAAAGGGAAACAAAATTATTCGTTTTCGTATAATTAAAATTACCAATAATTACTGCTTTTCACGTTTTGTAAAAATAATGATATAATTAACTTTTTTTGCAAAATCCGATGGATTAAATTTCATATATATAAATTTTATTATTATTATTATTATTATTTTGAAAATATATATATATATATCTGATATATATATATAAATTTTATTATTATTATTTTGAAAATTTTCCGATATACAGTATATTGTTTATTTAAACGAATTTAACAATATTAGCACTCAAATATTTAAGTTCTGGAAATATTATGATAAACGCCTTAGTCTAAACTTTTTCAGGAATTTTTTTTTATTAGAAGAATTCTAATATACAGATATGTTTTAACTTACTAATAAAGCAAATTAAAAAATTATAAAAATAAGTTTTTCTAAAAGAATCGTTATTTTGTTATTCTGAGAATATTTCATTATATGAGTTATTGAGTTTATGTTATTTATATAGAATTTAATTATTATATGAAACTTTAATTTCTTATGATATCGTGCCGATTACACGAAAAAAAAATTTGTAAGTAAAAAAAATCAGAAATTTAAACACTAAACATATTTTAAAACAAATAAACTGATCGAACGTTTGTGTTTTTATATATGTCGTATAATAGTAATCATATGAATATACAGTATATATATATATATTTTTTACGTAAAAGCTCCCCAAAAATGACATTGCAATATTGCATTTTGTACATTAAAATAGACCAAAATTTGTAAACATAAATAATAGGGGAAAAAATATCGGACATTCCCGCTAGATTTTCTTGGCAATGATCTTTGTCTTTTTTATTCAGAAAATGTCGATCAGAATATTCTATATAACCATTTATGTATTTTTATGTCACTCTAATATATATATATATTATTCTTATTAATCAAAGTTTTCTTATTAATATCTTAATTGTACACTAAATCCAATATATAAATAATAAAGAAATATCTGCCCTATAAAATATTTATTCCGTGTTTTTTATTTCCATAAATGTATCATATTCACGGAATTTATAGCCTAAAAACTTGGAAATTATCCAAGTTGCTTAGATTCTCAATTATTTACTGTAAGCCATTATTATATAATTATATTAAAATTCTCTGACTAAAAAAGATAATGTAGATATATAATTCGGTACAAGTTTATATCCGACAAGATCGACATAATGATTAAAAAAAATATGGTTAAATTCTAAACTAGTGTACAAACAAACAAACAAATAAGTAATTGTTATCGGTCATTACCACCAAGATGTTATGTATATCATGTGGCCAGTGCTTACATAGAATATATACAATAATAGTTGAGAAACTTAAGTAGGCCGGTTAACTTAATCAATTGATCTGTCCGAAAGACTATATACATTCGTAACGGTTTCACAAATGTCTGTCCGTCCGGCACGTGATGATGTGCAATGATACCTTCGGACTTAATAACGGTTTCCGTTTCCTAGTTTATAGAATTGTTTGACCAATCATCTATAATAACAGATTCACATATATTCAATCAGGGTTTGCATTGGATTGGATTCTAATATAACCCAATCCGTGTTCATAAATAATTGAATCGGATTTTGTATCAGAAAGTAAAGAATAAAAAGAATTTTATTAACATGCATGGTGATTGTTGTGTTAGATCGTGCGTGGAAAATGTACAGTATATTGATGTCAATCGTGGGATATACCCTGGATTGGAAATTTAATAATAAAATCCAATGCATTGCTAATTGAATTTTTAATTTGTGAATAATGAATCGGATTGAAGCATCGACTCAATTTGTGAATATCAGATATACCCGTATCACACTTCAATCGGATTGGATTTTGCAGATCCTTTTGGATTTTTATGTAATTCCAATTCGTGTTTAACTGTTCATAAATAGTTAGATCATTCAATCGGATTTGATTTGCAGATCCTCTTGGATTTTCATGCAATCCCACAATCCGTGTTCGTAAATAGTTAGATCAGATTATGAATTTTTGTATCATATTAAAAACTAAGAATTTTTTTATTTAAGTTCATAATTATTATATATGTAAGACGTTGAAATGGTGGTGGTGATCATGGTGGTAGATTGTGGTAAACGTACAGTATGATGCTGTCAATCGTGGGTATACCCTGAGTTGGAAATTTAATAATAAAATCACATCAAATTGAATCCATTGGATCGATTTAATCCAGTCCAATCGAATTTTTAATTTGTGAATATTGATCAGATTGAAGCATCGACTCAACGAGTTTGTGAATATACCCTTCCAATTCGTGTCCATAAATAGTTATGGATTTTGTATCATATTAAAAACTACAAAAGTTAAAAAATAAAAAAAAATTTTATCTATTTAAGTTCATAATTATTATATATGTAAGATAGTGGTGATGGTAAAACGTTATTATATGGGCCGATTTGTCTCATATCACTAATTAAATTTTAATGATAAATATGAATTTTGATCGACATGCCGATTGAAAAAAGTGATAATATCGGATAAAGCACAATGACGCACATGACAATTTCTAATAATTGCTGGGAATTGATTTGGAATTGATTTTTTTTTTTTTTGGAAAGAACAAAAACGGTAAGTAGTATTTAAAAAGTCATTTTAAAAGAAACTATTGATAATGAAACATAATATTGGCAAAATAACAACTATAATGCGGTTTAATGCCAGAACAAAGTGAAAGTAATATGCTTTCTAGTATATTTTTTTTTAATATATGGAATAAATACTAAAGAAATCTCTTTATTAAAGCCTTTTCTAGTCGTGTTTTTATACATAACTATCCAACCAGTTCAAGAATTGAAGCCCACAATCAGTCAAATGGTCGATTTACATATTGTTCATATTATAATATTATATATATCTTCTGGAACTTATCCTGATAATCCAAAATTAACCCAGAAGTCTCGAAAAAAAGATAAACCTCAATATCCAATACCTGATAACTATATTGTTGAAATAGAATCTTCTGAACGGAATATTAGGCGTGAAACTAAATATATTTCAAATACAATAGTATGTTATGCAATTAAGTAGTTGGAAGGAAAATCGTACAAAATGGGGTGTCAATAGTACAAAATCTTCTACAGCAGTATTTTTAGAGGTATATTCTGTAATTAATATTTACTGTATATAAATATTTTAATTGCATTTTTTTTTAATTAAATTTTATTACTTTTTTTTTTTAATTAGAAAATTAATTGTAAACACTCCACTAAAGTTTCTGGACCTCGGCTATTTGGGTTCGATATCGAGCCTTTATATATATAACACATGTTTACAAATTGTTATACCCACAATAAAAGTTGATAAACGAAAAAGACCACTTGAGGAGGTTACACCACGATTTCCTGACAACCTTTTTCCCGACATATCCTTTGCCCGACAATGATTACCCGACAAGATATATTCCCGAATGAACATTTTACCGACATGACACATACCCTAATGGACATTATACCGACATGCTATTTTTCCTGACATGACATTTTCCCGACAACACATATCCCGACAGACATTTTCCCGATTTAAAAAAAGTGATTCCCCAATTATTTAAGATAAAACATATGGAGAAAATTTTTATTATTTGTTTATTCATATATTTATTTTAATAAAAATTCGCAATTTCATGTATACTGTATATTTCATTTTTATAGTGCAAATTTTTATAATAAAATCACTAGCAGCAGCCCATTGCGTACCTACAAAAATTTATTTTAGTTGCAAAAAATGGATAAGTGAAAAATTCCAAAAATCTGGAAATCTGTAAATTTCGAAGTAGAGATAAAAAAAAGTATAAATAAAGCCAATCAAATTTCTTCCCCATAATCACATAATTAATTATTTTATCAAACAATTCTTAAAATTAAAAGATCGTTATTTTATGCAGTTTCTATTTCGTAAGACAAAAATACTGGTTTTCCTTTATGGAAATCTTTTATTAACGGATTTCATATGAATTCAATTAATCATTGTGGAAAAATTAACTTTATAGCAATGAAATTATCTATTTTTAAATAAAGCTATTAATTATTTCATTTAAAACAGTTTTTTCAATGACTTAACATTTTTTTATATCGTATAATTCCAAATTTTACAATATCTAATAATTAAATAAATTGTTTCCTTACAAATTAAATCTTTTTTGAAATTTTTGGTTGTAATAGCATGTAAGAGAATTATATTTATATTTATAAACATGATACATTATTACAGCAGTAATAAATTACTTTTCGTAAATCATTTTCAACATGTTGGGAAAATGTCTGTCGGGATATATGTTGTCAGGATAATGTCATGTCAGGAAAACTAGAATGTCAGTATAATGTCCATTAGGGAATGTGTCATGTTGGTAAAATGTTCATTCAGGAATGATATGTCTTGTC